GACTTATATTCAAGTCACTAAAGACATGTATACTAGAGCTGCTAAAGACATATATTCAAGTCACTAAAGACATGTATACTAGAGCTGCTATTGATGTTCAAATAGGAGGCTTGGCCAATTGCTTTCCTATTTCAGTTGGATTACATCAGGGATCGACTTTAATCCCATATCATTTTGCTTTAGTTATGGATGCACTTACTGGCCATCTACAGGAGGATGTATGTTGGTGTATGCTTTTGGTTGATGATATCCTTCTTGTGGATAAGACTAGAGAAAGAGTTTAGGATAAACTTGAATTATGAAGGTCTATATTAGAGTCTAAAGACATTCGCTTGAGTAGATCTAAAACAGAATACATGGAATGTAATTTTAGTAGTAGCAGATCTAGTGGCAAAATTGTAACACTAGTGATCAAATCATTAAAAATAGTGAATGTTTTAGATATCTTGGGTTTATTGTTCAAAGTAATGGTGAATAGATGGGGATGTTACTAGTAGAATTCAAGTTGGATGGTTGAAGTGGAGGAATGTGTCGGGCTTATTATGTGATTGAAAAGTGCCGCTTAGACTTAAAAGGAAATTTTATAAGATGGTGGTGCGACCTGAAATGCTTTATGCCATAGAATTTCGGCCTACAAATGAGAAGCATAAAACTAAGTTAAATGCTGCTGAGATAAGAATGCTAAGTGGGATGTGTGACTTGACTCTTAGATACAAAAAGCGAAACAAATATATCCGTGAAAGGGTTGTTGTAGCTCTACTGATAAACAAGATTAGAGAGAGTTGTCTTGGATTGTTTGATCACATTAGACGTGGACCATGTGATGATCTGGTTATGAGAGTAGATGTTTTAGATTTGACTTATGTGAAGAAAGATAGAGGTTGGCCTAAAAAGACGGGCATGTTGTATAAAAATGATTTTTAATTTGTTAGAATTAAATGAAAATATGACACTCAATAGGATATGGTGGAGAAAAATGATTAATGTTGCTGACCCCACTTAGTAGGTAAAGACTTGTTGGTTTTGTTGTTGTTGTAAGATTGTTCTTGACAATTTCAAGCCAAATTTTATATTAGCATCATATGATATTCATACTTCTAGGGTGGGTTGTTTTGATTATGTAGGTGACATTTTTTTTTCGGTATCAACTACTATAGTTATTAAAACATATTGTTTTAGTTATGAGCTCTCTACGAACATCTGTATATAGTTGTTATATTCAAGGATTTGAAAACTATAGCAAAGCAACATGTTTGACCTATTCGACTGTGAATCAGTTATAGCTTTGGTTCTGGTTCATTCAAAAACACTCTGCTGCATCAAATCATTTGGAACCGCCCTAAACAGTCAATTCGACAGGCAAAACGGCGAACCAGTGCCGGTTTAAAACAACTGACCAGTTTATTTGATTTCTATAAAACTGTCTATTTTAATTTTTGAGCTTTTAATTAAACATTAATCAATGGTCTAATCGATTGTACATAAATTTGTTAAGTTTAAAATATAATATTTTAATTTTTTTTTAATTCTCATACTTGATATAGAAATCAAATCAACTTGAAAATTAACGCCAATATGTCCAGCTAAGTGAGGTGCAAGCTGCTTTTTCTTTTCTAATTTAAAGACTACAATGTTAACTTTCTTCTCTGATAGGGAGACTAAATGAGTTATGTGAACGATTATAGGAATAAAGATTTGGGCTGCAAAAACTCAGCCATGCTATGAAAATTGGGCTGGATTGTAAAATAATATATATATATATATATATATATATTGAAAGCCCAAAAAGGCTAATATATTAAATAGAAAGAAAGATACAGATATAATGGCGATGAGTTCTCGAATATTTAGGCATATAGCGCGGGCTCTCGTCATGGGGTATAGCACATGAGAAATCGGTATTTGTGCCTCTGCCAAATACCGTTTTAGTATATTAATTTAAACTTATTTATATTAAAATGATAAATGGAATGCGCGATTGAGAGATAAACAATAAGAAATCATTTGATATCAAATGCAAATTATCATTTTTAAACATTTTTAGTAGTTTAAACATAAAATCTTGAATTTTATTTTATTTTGAATATATTTATGTTAATTATTTTTTTAACTAGCTGACTCATGAACTAACGAGTTGGGTCGGGTTTGGCTTGAGCTTGGCTTGTTAGCTCATCGAGCTCAGTTTACTAGCCACGAACCGATTCTGAGGTGGCTCACGAGTCATGATAGTCGTAATGAGGACACCTCACATACATCCAGATACTGTCATCCTTGGCATTTTATGTTGCTGTTTGCATTCACCTACATAAATTCAAAGCACTAAATTCAAAACTTAACTATACAATTAATGCATCGAGGTAAATAACTCGAGTATCTTTACACACATTTAACTTGGAATAATCTATACTATGTGCGTGAATCATTTTTAAATAGGAAATTAACAAATTGACGGTTGTTCTCTTTGCTTGCTTAGCCATGGCTTATGGGCATCTCTAACAAGAAAAATATCAACATATATAAAAGTAATTCTCTAATTCAGTACACTCGTTAATCATAATATTGTAATGCATACCCATACGTTTAATATTTATGATAGGCTGTAGATAAATATTGATATGAAATGTTGACAAAGAAAGATATAGTCATCCATCAATGAGCGTGTTTAATCAAGTTGTTAGGTAGCTGAAAATGATGCATGTTTGGTTAAATTCAGGACTTGTTAGATGCATCTGTGTATATCGCAAATATATCAGTAACAAGGGGACGCATACATATGTTAACATGTTCAAATTTTCGTATACATGATAGATTGTCAAACTCAAATATATACGTGTCATCATATTTAGATAAATATGATTGAGATATATACATTGCCAAACTCAAATATATACGTGTCATCATATTTAGATAAATATGATTGAGATCATCATATTCTAACAATTTACATATAACTAATCTTATGCAGATAAATTAGATTCAGTTTATATGCCTTGGAGTGGTACTTGTTTAGATCAGTTGAAGGTTTCATTGCAGGTGACATTGTTCCACATGCTACATATCATTTTAAGACTTGGAAGTTTAGCTCGCGCTAAAGCAATATAGGTTATATAAAATTCTCTTTTTACTCTCACGATTAAACCTGTTGATGATCTGAAATAATAAAACATAAGTAGTTTGTTAATGTAGAAGATATTGTCTATGAACATGTAAAGTCAAAAATATACCTGTTGATGTAAGTTGTAAGTTACATTTTGACAATATAAGTGTTTAGGAATGATAATAATTTACAATCTTGGTATTCCATTTTTATCACTATCATTCTCTTCTAGTTCTCTTTATTTATTATCTCCACCAACATACCACTTAATGTAAAAGGTATAGTCCATGAACATGTAAAACCAAGAAACTTTAAGTTAATTGTTTCATAATATATTAACATAAAACAATAAATTGTTAATTAATCTTTTTGTCGACACCAAATATGGCCTAATTACATGGTCATCACCAATTGGCTACACTTAAAATATTTTACGTAGTATTTGATGTTTGAGGCTATTTAGAGATGCTTGAAAAATTTCTCTAAGTTAAATTTCATCGGTATGGTTGTAAGCTAGCTAGCTTATCCAGTGAATGGCTTGATAATCTCCTTGGTTTAGCCTGTATAAGTTTGCTGACATATGATTAAAATTAAGAATAATTTGTTAAATCTAATATGCACGTGAACAATCATGGAGACATTTTCTGATTAAAATGAGGTGCATTTAGAACGAAACTACAAATAGATTGGAAGCTTATGCTAAACAAATCATATTAAGTTTGTTTGTTCTTTTTTTTATTTAAAATATAATTTTAATAAATGACCTAGAGAAGTTTTTTATTATTTGGATGAAAAGTTGGGGGGTATGCATCCTTCTCATTAACGACCGAGTTAAGAAATTAATTATGAAGTACAAAAAAGAAACAATGCTTAAAATAAAGAAAAAAAAAAGCCACGTTAGAGCATCAAATTATTGAGCTTTGGACAATTCGGTTGGCCAATAATCTTCTGACTCCTTTTCACTCTGATCGGTTTTTACGCTCAGGATAGTGATCCCTGAAATGAATCAAACCTTAAAATATAAGGTACAGAGTAAATGTCTATTTACAAACATATACAAAACTGTTAAGTGTTAATTATTTTATGTTTGTCGAGAGTATTATATGTTTAAATAATTCTCACCTGGCATATGATTAGCCAACTGATTATAGCTAATTTTTTTGTGTTCAATATTAAAATATTTATAGAGAAACTTGAACAAGATTGGAAAATGACTTCTATATTTAAGCTTGGTTTGAACTGAAGTGAATAAATATTCAATCTTGAGCAAGATAGTATTTGAATCTAGGAGTGATCCAAACCTTAAAATGTAGTAAGATGCATGGCTTTGGTTGACTTACCTATAAACCATTGTGAAGCTAGTTATTTTATTTCTATTGGGAAGGTTAAATAAACTTGAACCTGATTTGAAATTTGTTTTTTCGTTTAATCTTTGTCTGAGCTCGTTGAGTGAATAAATATTTGACATTGAACAAATTAATACTTTGGTCTACTAATTTACAATCCTACTCATCAACATGTGTTTGACTTGCTCAACCTTCTGTAGTATGCACTCTTTTATGTTAGCTTGTGTCTGTTTTGCACTGTTTTTTTTCATTTCGAAAGTGTTATAAGAAAACTATTTTCAGTCATTTGCTTCATCTCAAGTTGGTCTAGAATATTAAAAAACTTGAATTTCATCTTTTCAATCACTTTTATTTGTATTTTCTGCCATTTTTTTATTGATAAGGTTCTAATCTTTCGTTTTAAAATGTGTATCTTAGGTGGCTGACTGCTATATGTATTTTTTGCTTGCAGCCTGGCTTGTTTTGTTTCTTCACATAAACTATGAGCACTCATTTTTTTTTTGTAAGTTGATCTGTATTCATTATTCTGCAAATTATTTGCAATTTACTTCTTATAGGATTTGAGGAAATTGAATATGAAGAAGAGCTTGATCCTTGTGAGAAGGAAAGTGTAAAGTCAGATGATGGTAAAGCTAATGCTAATGTTCCAAAAATTGAACATCCTAATTTAACAGAAAGCAGTTTACCCGCCACTCCTTTTCCAGCTTGCAGGTTGAGACCCATATTTTGGTCTTTATATTTTTTTCCCTTCTCATTTCTGATTACAAAAGATTCCCTTAAATAGGTCTTCTGTTAAATTTCCATTTCTCTCTAGTGGAAAACCTCCTCGGTCTTCTACTCTCTCACAAATGAGCAGATCTGAAAGTCAGCAAGCAGAATGCAAGTCTGTACAGCTTTTTCCTGATGATGATACTTCTGAAGATTTAAGAGTTAACTCTTCACCTTGCGCTGCTGTGAAGACTGTTTCTCCCAATGGAAAAAGGGTTTCTTTACCCCTCAATGGATTTGGGATGTCTCCTAATCTTAAGGGTGGCCGGAAATTGATCCTGAAATCCATCCCTTCATTCCCATCTCTCAGCACCGATGCACCCACTGCTGCTCAATTCAACTCTTCCGTATTGAGTTGAGGTACTCTTTTTGGATTAATGCTTCCAATACAATCTTTCCTTTTGGGATCACTTTTAATGTTTTATAGTTATTTTGTTTTGTTTCTATTTTTACTTGAAATAAAATATATTTGGTATGTTTTTAAAAACATTCGAAATAATTTTTCGATATTTGTGTGTTTTTAAAAAGTAGTTAGTTTGTTTCTTGAAACAAAAAATAAAAAGACGCAGTAAATGCACTAAAGAAACGTATTTTTAAAATAAAATAAAAAATAAAAAATAAAAAATAAAAGTGACTCCAAAGAAGCCCTTATCGTCCAACTATAACTATCATGCTATTGTTTTCCTTCAGGCTGCTTGAACATGGGTCGAGTTTCCACCGTATAAACCCCTTCTAGAGGTTATGCTTCTAATTGAATTCGGATGGGCTGGTAGAGTTGTAACAGGCGAAGCATGAAAGAAAATAAATAATTTATCATAATTAGTTAGCTAGCGAGCTATGTACTTTGTATTGTGATGCTCTTTAATCTTTACTTGCATCTATGTGTGCTGCTATTGTAATATTCTTGAGGTGATAGTCTAATTTGATTCCTCATGTTATTGCAACCATGAATGTGGATTAAGAAAGGAAAGATGGGGATGCTTAATGGTATGCGTATCATTGGAAGATATCTATTATATAGATTCTCATTTTGCTCTGTAATATTATTGTCTCGACAGATTTTTCAAGGAAACCTACTGACATTTCCAGGTTTTTGTAAAATATTAATTTAATGTCAGGTTGAAGGCATTTTTTATAGTTTTATGGTAGTGATTGGAGGCATTGTCACCATGGTTTTTTTTTTTTTTCTCTCTTTCTCTCTCTCTCCGAAAAACGTTATGTTTCTTTTTAGCCTGAATGAGACTCCTTTCTGTTGTCTGAAGCAATTTTTGCATGTCTGAGGTAAGGGTGTAAATGAGCCCAGCTGGCTTGAGCTCGGCTCTTGTCGTTAACGAGCTCACGAGAAGTTTATCAAGCCACGAGCTCAGCTCGATTGAGTTTGTCCCGGCTCGGTTCATTGGCTTCAATAAACTCAATCTTGAGCTTGTCCCGGCTCGGCTTTTTGGCTTGTGAGCCGACTTGATTTGTCTATTGCTAGTCATTGCGATGCATTTTCCGGCGATTTGCCGCTGCATCCTCTTCCTTGAATCAACAATACCTTCTCCAGTGAGCTTTGTAAAAATTAAATTTTTAGCTCGAGTTCGCAAGCCGGCTCGCAAGCCCACTGCTGCCACTATGAGCCAAGCTCAAGATCACAATTTAGCACATAAGCCAAGCTCGAGCTTGGCATCTCTCATCGCTCGTCTTGTTTTCACTCCCTACTCTAAGCACCGTTTCTTTGTGGATATTTCTGGACAACTAAGCTACTTTGCTGACAATTTTTCCATCAGACAAGCTTTTACATTTATTTTTTCTAGTCATATAGACAGTTTTACTCTATTGATGCTTGTAGCTCCCTTCTAATAATCAAAGGATCGTATTAAAACTTATAAAACGGCGTGCATTTTTATTTTTATTTTGTACTGCAACATGAGTTCTATGTATTCGAAGATTGGTGGGATGTTGAAGTAGGTGTATTTACAATACGTACATTACGTGCATAGTGCTGTTGAACAAATATATTTGTATTTCATCCAATAACAAATGAAATGGAGTTTAATGAAATACATATGAATTTGTTCCGTGTAGAATTTAATGTGTTTTATATGTAATTAAGTGTCTATAAGTTATTTAAATTTATTTTATGATAAATATTTATCAAGTCTCATAATGTAATTTCTTGTTAATACTATTCATAAATTAACTTTAATTCTATACATTATAATTTAATAATCTTTTAATTATTCATGCGTGTACACTGAGCACATCTTTGCCTTATGCAACGTTCTCTGTGGCTTTTTCTTCAAATAATTAAATAATTATGCATAATAATAATGCATAATGATTAAAAAACTTAAAAATTATTATTTCTAAAAAAATAATTTATAAGATAAGATTACAAAATATATAAAAAGAATATTTAAATACATAAAATATAAAAATAGAAATTTATTAATTCAATTAGTTAACTAATCCATTGAAAAAAATTAATTTAGAAATTTTCTTTTTTTTGGGAAAGAGGAATGTTGAAAATTGAGAGGGCAAATTTATAAGAAAAATATTATCTTATTAAGATAAAAAAATAAGCCCCGTCAACTCTCATTTCTTCTTCTTTTTTTCTCCTTAGAAATGTGAGTCTAAAGGATAATATGCACAATTAAAATCGGCGATTTCATGATGAGAAATGAGACTTTCAACCACTAGTCGTGGATGACTAGACTTCTTATTTTCTTCATAGTTCAGTATTTTAAGCTCATTTACTTCACTATCCAACTTTAAGGAAATGATGGGTATATTGTCATTTTGCATGAATATTAATGTCAAGGTCTATTCTGATATCTTAAGAAATATTTAAAATATATCATGGTAAATGGACGTATCTAATGCATGATAGGTATGCAATTATTATTTTATATTATGTTGATTTTTTTATTTTATTAGGTGATTTTCTAACCTTTGCTCGAGGTTCACACCCCTTTTTGCAAATATGCTACAATTATAGGGCTCCATTTATAGTGCTCTATTTGTTCGCCGCTTTGGATTCCCATCATTACAATGCTACTTTTTGTTACTCTCCCACTATTGAGAGCTTCATTCTCCGAAAAAATATTACCTCAGGAGTACTGATGCATCAGTACTCCAATGAGGGGGTGCCACATAGGCAATGATCCCACCGTGATGCCTACGTTGCACCCCCTCATTGGAGTACTGATGCATCAGTACTCCTGAGTACCGATGCATCAGTACTCCTGAGGTAATATTTTCGCTCATTCTCCATCTAATGTTGGTGGCCGACATTACTCACTTCAGCCCCTCCACATTCCATATTTTCTTTCAAGAATATTAATAAGATTTTCATACATACCACACTAAATTCTTATGTATTTATATATCTAACCCTAAACCGCTCTACAATCAAAGAAAGCTCTTCGGACCGTCCGATCAAAGTAGTTCATATTCTAACATTAATTGCACATAGAACTCTATAAATAGAGCTTCACGCCTCTCAATAGAGATGAATAAAAGCTCGAGGCTTGAAGAAGAGCATGAGGCTTCAGGAAGAGCTGAAGTCTCACATCACTCTTATTGTCGTCAATCACCACTGACTGTCGTCGATCATCACCTGTCGGTCGTCGCCAATCACTATAGGATGTCGCTGATTTCTTGCAACGAGTTCATGTCTGCGGGACAAAGGATATCTGTAATCATCGATTTATAATAGATTTTTGGAACTGGGTGAGACACCGTGAATTTTTCTCTTTCCGGTTTTTCCACATAAAAATTTATGGTGTTTATACTAGTTGTTTCTTTTATCTGAGTGTGTGTGTTGAATACATATGCAACACTTAGACAATAATATGTTAATCTACCGTCGTGAATCCTCTAACGTGCATTAGTTACAATTCAAACTTTTTGAAGTAAGGATTAAGGAGAAAAAATGCAACTCGAATACAACAAGAGTTAGTAAACATGTTCATTAGAGATGACAAATGATTTGATCTACAATCAAAGAAATTTATAAGCATGATCTAGAAAATAAAAAGCCATTGATACCCAAATCACAAGTGCACCAATGCACCAAAAAGAAGTAAAAGAAGAAGAAGATCCTTGATAATTATCTAAAATAAGGTTGATATGCCATCATCCAATTTCCAACATATGATACGATTCTCAAGGGATGACTTAGATCTCGATACATCTTTTGGAGCAAGAAACGTTCAAACTTTGATTAATAGTCATCCTAAAGTCTTATTTCAACAAAATCACAGTCAAATCAACCGGCTTAATGAAACAGACCCAATAAAACTAAAATTGGTCTAATCCGAGTCAAATCAAGCTCATATCAATATATTAAACCACTTTTGAAAGCTTTACTGGCATATTTGGCTGGTCAAATGAATTTTGAATGGAGCGGGCCCGTAGTCGAATGGAGCGTCTCAACATGTTGGATCCAATGAGCCTTAGATCACTCAATTCTGACATCACTAATACACTAAAATATTCTTCAAAAGGCATCTTATCGAGGGAATTTTTATAGACCGTTCAATCAGAGTGATTCATATTCCTTTATTAATTTCAATCACGACTCTATAAATAAAACACCACCCCTTTCATTAAGAAGGAGGAGAAAACTTAAAGCCTAAATAAGAGCTTGAAACTTAGAGAATGAGCTGAAGTTCAATATCACTCCTACAAGCCCTCGACAGCCGCCAATCATCGTTGCCGGTCTTCGCAGATCACCATCAGTTGTCGCCCCTTCCTTGTGACAAGTTCATCCATATATTGACTTTGTAACTCGAAAGATTGTGTAACTCTATCCTGCTTGTGGGACAAGAGATTATACATATAATATTCAATTTCTAGTGGATCTCTTTAATTGGGTCAGATCCCGTGATTTTTCCCCTTTGAGCTTTCCACGTAATAACTTCTGGTGACTGTACTAGTTATTTTCTTTCATGTGAGTGTATGTTGAATTCTCGAGAAATACTAAACGATAATCCGTTACTCTACCACCGCAGAGTTTCTAACACACAACATAGATTTTATTTTTTACGTGAATTTTCTTTTTTTCGCACTTACTGTCTCTTTAAGCATAAAAAAATTATAACAATCCATGGATTATGTGAGGAATGGAGATTTGAAAAAAACATTGAGTTTTTTTTTTCTTCGACTGCATTTTGGCTAAAGAAAAACCAAGCATTTATGCACGCTCATATAGCCTTTTGCCTCTATCTTATTTACAAATTGAAGCACATAAATATCGAGATGAGACTACTTAATTATTATGGTCTGGAGCATTGATCTGGATTTCCTTTAAATATCATTGCTCATATGTTCTTAAAGTAGTAGAAGGGAATGTAAGTGAAGAATGATATTTTGGAAAAGGCATAATTGGGTCATGCTTATAACTCTCGCTTTTATTGTGGCAAAATAAAATCTCTTCTCAAAGTCGACCACTCTAAGTTTTCAATAATTTGAAGGGTTTATTGTAATATAGGTTCCGTTTGAGACAGCATATTTGTGCGTGCGGCGTTTTGAAAACACCGCCTAAACGTTTGGTTAGAACGTTCGGGCGGCATTTTCAGAATGTCGCCCAAGTTTTCTTAATAACTGCGGACACGATATACGGGTTGTGTCCCACGTCTAGCGAATGCTTGTTTCTCTAATTGCCCTTATGCCATCAATCCTCTCTTCTGCTCTCGTCTCGTACGAATTCCCTAACTCTCCTCAATTCTCTTGATCGTTGCCTTCATCCTGATCTCCTTATCTCCGATTTGTGCTTCTAGTGCTTTGTAAGTAACCTCGTCACCTTTGTTTTGGTGATTTTGGGCCTCGAGGCCCTTTAGGGTTTGAAATCTCCCATCTGCTTTGATGTCAGAATTTTTCGATGCTCTCGTTGATAGAATGGCTTTCGTGCTAAGGATAAACACTAACTACTGAATGTTCTTGCCCTTTAGGCAGCCTTCTATCTGCGTAAATCTAGTAATGGTACAATTTAATACTTCACAAGACTACACATTGCAAATTTAATTTATCTTAATTACTGAAGTTTTTTCATTATCTAGAATATGCACTTATTCTTGAAGTTTTATCACATCATGAAAGTTAAATATCTTCTATTTTATAAAAATATGATTAAGGCAACCTTTAAATTTGCACCGAGATTTAGTTGACATGTCACTAAGAGATTTGCATGAGGTGCACAAATCTTATTGTATTTCAGGTAAAAAATCTTTCAGATTCAAATCCAAGATCATCCAAGCTTCAATTTCAACATTTACAATTAAAGTGGACTCCTCGATAACATGAGACTAACGACATTGAAAGTGATTCAGTCTGAGTCCAAATATGCTCAAATCAAGCACTTGAAATGTCATTGGATAATTTAGAACATTAATTTAAAAACCTAATAGTTTTTTTTTTTGAGTTTGGCATGCTTATAGTCAAAATTGAGCGGGTCGATGAAAAAAAACCGTTGAGCTTATGATCATTTAACTATTATGTTGTTAAGGTACATAAAGACCAAGAAAAATGACGTGAAAAGGGAGTCAACACGGATTGTTTGATTGAGTATTTTGGGAGATTTGCTACATTTATCAAAATAACTCTCTTCAAATACTGACTATTAAACATGAAAATAAATGCATATGAATGACCGCCAATAATTATCAACCACACCAAAAAACTTTTGTGACCACCATTTCAAACTTGTGTAGCCAACTATGACTGTTGTAGCCCAATTGCCCAACTATGATTGTTGTAGTCAAACTATTATCATATAGCAGTGATTTTATATTTATTGCCTCAACATAATTATGTAATTATATATTCCTCAATAAAAAAAAATTGCAGCTCTTTATACTTTTAATTACTTAGTGGATTATTTTGATTATATCAAACACCATGATTTCTTTCCTTTCCAGGGTTTTCATAAGAAAATTTGGTTTTTTGTTACATATGTAGCTACATGTGAGATTTAAAAATTTATACTGAGCTAAAGTTGAAGATTTATCTACCTTTGAGAATTAGCTAACATATAATAGTTTGACATATTCCATAGAACATAAAATCCCACTATTATAGAATTATAAGCACATTTTTTAATGGCTAAAAAGAGTAATACTTATTGTAATGGAGCCAACCACTTCAACATCTACCATTAAAGGGACAACTTTGAAGCCTCTATTTCTTCCCTCCTTGATAAATGTTGTCATGCTAGTGAATGTGCCTCTTTTTACTCTTAGAAAATCATATGCATAAAATGTAGGATTCCTAAAAAGATATTCTTCAACTCTTACATAAGGCTTGACAACCAATTTTAGTGCAAATATGTGGGATTTATTTACCTCATAATCAATCATTAATTAGGAATGCCTAGCTCAAGAATGCTTGTATAAGGCCTCCTCTTTTAAAAATTCTTCTTAAATCCGGTCAAGAATTTGATCTTGCTGACACTGTTAGTTTTACACTTCCATCTTAAGTGGCTTGACCAAGTTGTAATCCTCCAACATTCCTAAGAAGCTGGTATGACCTCATTTTATTGATGCTCCCCATCATGCAATCCTTGAAGAACGATGATGTCTGGTTTAGGAAGAGTTTTTTTCGAACGACAACAATCATTTTCTTACTCATTACAATTTTTAGTACTTTTTACCTTTGGTTGAGACAACCCTCCGTAACCTTATTCCAGCATGATTCAAGCTCTCGAATGTTGATTCTTATGATTGGATATTAGACGCTTATATGCACCTTGGCCATTATAGGACCATCATGCATGTTCACCGAGCCTCTAATACAAACTATTTGTCAAGTTTTTTCTTGCCACTCTCAAAGGCCAAGCTCACACTTGATTTTACTCTATGACAAACTCACTATCCACAAATTTGATGAGTTTGTTCAACTCATTGTGAAGTAATTTCTGACAAATTGAAGGATCATTACAGACTCATCTCACATTTAAAAAATTAGCCAGAATGAAGATAATCATATCCAAAGTGCGACATCAAGTAAATTGTTTAAACTAGTTTAGTAAGACCTCAATATACTTTGATTTTCTAAATGCTAAAATTCTTTAATGATTGTTCCGGAGATAATTTTTTAGGTTTCAATAGTTTTGGACATATCTTTGTTTGAATAAATCTAAGACTAAGGTCTGATTGGGATAACTTTTTTGTCTGCTTTGTGTTTCAGACCACCACCACAATTCTGTTTGGATAACTGTTTTATTGCTGCTTTCTAGAAATTTCTGTGGTGAGACCGCAAAAAGTTTTTTTTCAAACCGATTTGTTAAACCGTGTTGACAACAAAAAAGTTGTTGTCTAATTTTTTGAATATATATTATATATTTATAATTCCTACTATAGTATTCTAACAAGTTACATTCTCCATATTGTTTCAACCACATTTTAAAAAGCTATAACCATCCTAAAGAGATCCTAATTTTAGCCAACTAAAATTTTTAAATTCTAAATGAATTTATTAAAGCTACTAAACTATCATCAAAGCTTTGTTGAAATACTATCAACAAGATTTCATAAAATTATAACACACCAATTATGGGCGCTCCTACAATGATCTTAAGAGAACTACCATGTTCCCATAAGCTTTGTAAGGGATAAAACACATACACCAAAAACTATGAGGGCATAAACAACCACATATTTCTACAACATTTTCTTCTACGAAGATGAATCAAACTGTTTAAATTGATTACCCCATCTATTTCTCCGACTTCGTCTCATCGTTTTAACTTCTTTGATCATCCGGTCGATCCTCATTCTTAATTATCACAAAAAAAAAAAAAAAAAAAAAAAAAATTCTCTCTCTAGTAGCTGCATGCTGTCTAGGTATAGTTTTATATTGAATAAGCATCAATAAAATAAAAAAAATAAATAAATAATATTTTATCTATTTTATTTCAGTCAATTATCTGTTATTGAATCATTTTCAATAATTTATTTAATGGTGGTACCCCTCTATGTCCCTATTATAATAAAGACTTCTAATGAAAATTTTCAGTCTGTAATGTTAGGTTAAAAAAATGTCAATAGTACCATCTCAGAGGCATAATTGATTATAAAAACGGGGAAACACGTGACAGATCAAGCATTTATGTAAAATACAATTTAAATTGGGGGACATTTACATATATACCACCGAATTCTTCTGTATTTACCAACCAAATCATTCATCTCATATAAAAAAATATCACTTTTTTCACTTTTCCAAGCATAAATAAGATGTCATATATGCAACAAAAAAGAAGTTTTGGTGTTAGATGTGTAAATACATTGAAATTGAATGGTATGCATGTAAATCTTCCTTTTATGGGAAGCAAATGAAGGCAGAGATGGCCTGACGATATACTCGTTAAATAAAGTTATACCAAAAATAGAGAAATTGATTCCAAGTATTTATAGCTTACTAAAAATCCCATATTTGAAGATGAGGTTTCATCTAATAAAATTATGTAGGGCCAAAGATTTCTATTTGAATAAAGTTGTCATTTTTGAGTAAAAGTTAGCGTTTAAGTCAAATATCACATAATAAATAGATTAAAATCTCAAGCAAAAATATTATATTTGAACAAAATATGAAAAAAAAAAAATTTTAAGAACATTTGAGGGTTACTTACTAATGATTTAATATTGATTTATGGTAACTAATATAATTAAAGTTAAGTGATGAGCTTACTTGGAAAAAATATATATATAGACTCCATTTCAAGTATCTCAAGACAAGTTAGAAGTTATTAAGTCGGACTAATCAAATGTAGGACGTATAATATTACGAATTTGACGATATAATGTGATTCACACCGTCCGTGCATTTATTATCCAAAGGTAATATAATAGTTTATTATTAAGAGTGAATTATTGGGGGACCAAATTTCTCAATTTTGCTTTGTTTTCTGACTCTCTAAACCAAACCAGCACAAAAAGCAGCGGGTTTTGGAGCCAAAGGTGGTGCCTTTTTGACTTCATCCCTTCAACAAGACGCTAAAGACACCGCTCGGGTGATACACCCAGCAGACTTGGGAAGGTATGGAATCGCCTTCGCTTCCCGGTTTTCACCTCCTTTATTGGTTTTCTGGTTGTGGGCTCTTATTGCTGAGTTTTCACTGCATTGATTTCTTTGTCTTTTTGCCTTCTCTCCTTTTCCTTGCTCTCTGTTCTTCCGGGCTTTTTTTTGCCTTGCCAGCACAAGAGAACAAGAAAAATTAGAAAGTCGAGTCTGCTCTCTGAGGAAAAAGAAACAAAAAGCACAGAGAGAGAGAGAGAGAGAGAGAGAGAGAGAGAGAGAGAGAGAGAGAGGGAACGCTGAAAGGTTTCATCTTTGCAGTAAAAATGGGGTGAGGGCGTGGCGAAGAGGAGCTGGGATTCTCTTGCACTGCTGCTTGTCGGTGCCTTTTATCTTTTTTATTATATTGATGGTATGATTTATTATCATTTTTATACAACCTCTCTTTCAAAAAGGAGAAAAACAAAACCCTTCTTTGTTGGTGGCTGTGTGGAGGGCTCTGCTGTGTCGGCTTTGTTTCAGAGAAGATCTTTTTCTATGGGTTAGTGGTTTTTTGCATTCTTTCTTTCCATTCAATGACTTAGCGTAATTTACATCAGTTCGTTAGCTGAGATTATGTTTCTATTAGTGGATCTTTGGTCCTTGTTGTATTTGTTGCGAGGTTACTGCTGATCTGTTTTTCTTTTTTGTTGCAGAATTTAGGATTCTGGTTGCTTAGTTTCTGGTTTTCATCTGCTTGTGAAGTTGCCGTACAATGCGCTGACGATATTTCTCTGGTGCGTTCTGATTCTCTTATATCTGGAGAAATTGTACTGGTTTTCATACGTCTTTTACAATGTTTGATTTTCCTGTTAACATTGAATTGCATTTGAAGAACAGCAACTCCATTCTAGTTTACTTCTGTGTAGTATGATTTCAATTCCAAAAACATTTCAAGTACAGTAGGTGGTACCATAGTTCTAAAAGATTGTCTCTTCTAATGGTGTGAGGATTCTGAAAGATTAGAACTTGTTGGGCTATACAGAAGAGATAGCTTTCTTCTTTGCTTGTTAATCTTTTCTTTTTATTTTTTTAACTACTTTGAGAATCACATCTCAACAACCCCTCTACTTTTCTATTAATTGCTGCTGTCCAGGTGATTTAACTTATACCAGAACAAAGTTGGGGAATTTAATCTTCATTATTTGTAGGTCCTGTAAAGTCAGGTACAAAATCTCACAGCTTCTATATATAATTTTGTTTAATGCTGTTTTGGTTTCAACTAAATTTAAATATTTTCTTTCAGTGCAGTTTGGTTATATAAAACAAATCTGTGGAAGTGGAAGCTTGTTGCTATAAAACCAGTCAGCTGTATTTTGTTTTGTTTTGACAGTCTAGCTTATTTGTGAACCTGTTGATGACTGAAGTTATGGAGTCTGCTACTTATTCTGAAGCAAAAAGCTCAAATCCATGGTGGTGCGACAGTCATATTACTCCAAAGAATTCTAAATGGCTCCAGGAGAACCTAACAAGTAATTTATTTTAATATGTTTTTCCATTAATGCTGAGTTATATGGTATCTTGAGTGAAGAATTTTAGATAAAGCTCGCCCCAAAAACTCTATGTTTTCATTCTGTAGTATGCTTTAGACAACAATCTTTCTTACATTCTTGGTTATGTTGCTCTTTAGACAGATTTTATAATTGCATTTTCTGATATAGTTGAATATCAGTCTTTTTCGCTTAGTTAAGCATCATTGCCGTGTTAGTTACTACATAATTATCATTACTTGTTCACTAAAACTTAAATTTAACAGATATGGACAGCAAAATCAGGTCGATGATGATGCTTATAGAGGAAGATGCTGATTCCTTTGCTAGAAGAGCAGAAATGTATTACAAGAAACGACCCGAGCTGATGAAATTGGTGGAAGAATTTTACCGAGCTTATCGTGCTTTAGCAGAGAGATATGATCGTGTTACCGGGGCACTTCGCCAAGCTCATCGGACAATAGCTGCTGCATTTCCTAATCAAATTCAATTTATATTACCCGATGAACCCCCCTCTAGTTTACCTGATTCCGTTGAAGAAGATAACGAAACTTTTTCTATTCAGTTATATTCTGATGGGAATGGTGAATATTCTGATGAAAATAATCCATTAATGAGCAAAGAAGACTGGAAAAATCTGAATTTCCAGCTTGTCGATGAGGAAAAATCTGAACACAAAAAGCTACAAGAAGAAGTTCTTAAGCTGTCAACAGAGAACATCAATCTCAAGAATCAGATAACTTCAGAATCTACGCGTGCAGATGAAGCTGAAACTGAGTCTCAAAGTTTCAAAGATGCTGTTTCCAACTTAAAAGCTCAACTGGAGTCTGCCTTTCTTCAGTACAAGCTTTCTCAAGAAAAAATGTCACATCTTGAGGCTGAAATTTCTCAAAGGCGAGATGAAGCTGATAATCTTGATGATGAGATGAGCTCAAAAGTAAAAAAACTTAATTTTGCAGAGGAGCGATGTATTGATCTTGAAAAAGAGAATAGTTCTTTGCGGGTTGAGCTGAGTAAGGTTAATGAAGCTGTGTCAAAGAAGATGGAAGAAGTTTCAGATTTGTTTAAGGAGAACCAGAATCTCCATAACACAGTTAATTTGGAGTCAATTCGTGCTGAACAAGCAGAAGCTGAGTCATGTAGATTGAGAGATGCTGTCTCCAAATTAAATTCAGAGTTGGGAACTTCACTTCTTCAATACAAGGTATCCCAGAAAAAGATATCTGATCTGGAAGCTGAAATCTGTCACAATGGAGACCGGATTCAGAATCTTAGAGTTGAGATTTCTGTAAGTTCATCTAAACTTAACATCGCTGAAGAGCAGTATCTTGTTCTTCAAGAAGAAAACAAGTCTTTGCAGTCTAAACTTGATAGATTTAAAATGATAGCGGCAACGAAAGAAGAAGAAGCAAACTTAAAGGAGGAAGAATTGTGCAAACTGAAATGTTTCATCGAAGATGAACGGCTGAGATATGAGTATGCTGGAATCCAGGAAAATATGTCTTTACAGATGGAGCTGAATGAACTCAAACAAAGAAATGCAGGGAATGAGGAAGAGCTGGCTAAGGTCAAGCAACTCTTAGAAGATGAAAGGCAACGTTGTATGATTGCTGAAGTGGCTAACCAGTCATTGAAGAAACTGTATTCTCAATCTGAAGAAAAAGTAAGGCTTTTGGGCTTGGAGATTCAAAGAGGAGCTGAACTTCTGAGAGGGTTGGAACTAAGTAAAATTGGTTTGGAAGAAGAGGTAAAGAGACTCCATGATGAAAACAATGATTTGAATGAGAAAAGCTTCTCTTTTCTGTCAAAGATTGTTGGCCTACAAGATGAGATAAATTCTCTGAGGAGATCGAAGCTGAAAATTGTAGATGAACTAAGTTTTCATATAGATGAGAACAAAGGTCTTCAGAAGGAGCTTTCTTTTCTCAAATTTGAGAGAGATAATTTAGAGGAAAGGCATCATGATCTAATGGAACAAATATTGGAGGTCAACTTTAATGTTGTTTCTCTTCGTACATTAGTTCAGGAATTGTGTGATGGAAGAACAGTACTGAAAGATGCAAACAAAAAAGTTGGTGGCGAAAAACCATTTAATTTGGAGGTCTTGAGGCTTATGGAGATCCTATCAGAGAGAAATTCTCTTTTGGAAAATTCCTTGTCTGATGTAACTGCTGAATTAGAGTTGTTGAGGGATAAGATCAAGAGATTAGAAGAATGCTGTGAATCTCTACATGGAAATGCTTCAAGTACTGAGGATGTTACAAAGAATGGCAAGAAGTTTTCAGATCAAAGCACAATTTTTGAGAACTTCTTAGCTGATATTATTTTTGAGTTTGAAGGTTCGAATGATTTGGTGAAATCTTTGGAAGAGTCCTGCAAGTCTCTATATAACCAGAATTGCTCTCTTATTGCTGAAAACAATAATCTTGTTGCTCAGGTAAATGCTTCTGAAGGTTGGAAAGCTTGAATGGATATTTTTTATTTTTTTTCCTGCAACCTTTCAGGCTGTGCTTTATCAAGAAAAAGTGAGTTAGTGCCCTAAATATTTACATGGCTGTTATTTTCACATTAATTTGTTGTAATTTGTGTCAGGTGGAAAAGATCAAACGGCATTTGGAAAGCTTGGAGACTTGTTTTTTAGCCTTCGAAAGAAAACGTGTGATTATGGAGAATGAGAAGGATCTAGCACTTAATCAGGTGGAGGAAGTAAAAAAATCGTTGAATTCTGCAGAAGAAGGCCATGAGAACCTTATTATTTTCTTGCAGAACCAAACCAGGGCTTTGACTAATCAAATTCACATATTGAAAGAAAAAAATGATCTTATAAATGAGGATCTTGAGGAGGGGCTGCCGAAAACAGTGAAGAGTGGTATTGATCGCTTTATAATGAAGCAAATTTTGTATGATATGAATGACAACCATCTGATTCTTTCGGAGAAACTAACTTCGGAACTCAAACTTGATCGGTCAACACTAGAGAAGAAACTGGCACTATCAATGGAACATAATAAGATGCTTTTGGAATGGGTTCATGTGATGGTAATGGAATTTGATGCAAAAATGGACACTGAGATTTCAAACTGTGGTTGTAAGAATATGGTGCAGTTTATTTTAGGTAAAATAGTGGATCTGCAGGCTTCTGCTTCTGGTTCGAAGGAAGAATTCCATCATTTTCATATTGAGAATTCACCTTTTATTCTTCTTTTGGAACGTATTGGACTGAGTTTAGTAGAATTGAGAGCGCATAATAATGTTCTTGAGCAGGAATCTGTAAAGAAAAATGAAGAAATTTCACTTCTCCACATTGAATTGGAGAAAATGTGTCAAAAGTTATCAGATTTACAGAAGGAGCCGTGCGGCTTCCTTAGCAAAGTACCCAAGTTGTTTGGTGAAAAAGAGTATATATCAAGCAAATCTTTTGAGTTATTGGATCATCCTGATTCACAGGAAGATGAGCATGAAGCCATCATTGAAGAATTTATGCTCCATGAGAACCTCTTCTGTAATTTCAAAAGTTCTGATGCTGAGGATTCTTCAGGAATTGATCAGTTAATCAAAGATGTGTACAATCTTCATGGGATCACAAATGACCTTCGCCAGGATATCAGAGTAATAAATGAAAATATGAGGGCCCTACAAACTGAGAATACCCATCTTAGGGACTTGGCGGCTGATTTTGAGACCAGAAGTAATTCAGCGTTGCTTGAGTTGGAAAAAAAAATTCTAGTTTTGTGTAAAGAAAATGTCTATAAAAATGATGAAAATGAATTCCTTCGTCAATCTAATGGGAAGTTTGTTGGAGAAATCTCTGGACTTCATAGAGAAACTGAAGCACTGAGAAGGAGAGAAAAAAACTTGGCATCTAAACTCCAAAGAACAATAAATGAAAGTAGGTGCTTTGAAGAAGAATCTGCAGCATATTTACTTGATATTAGTGCTGCATCAATCAATGAATTGGTATTGAAAGAGAAAGTTGTTGAGCTGATGCTCAAAATTAAGAGCCTTGAGAACAGGGAAATTTCTCTTGAAATTGTTGAGAGGAACCATTTGATGAAACAAATTGATGTCCTTGAAAAAGAAAATAAGAGATTGATGGCAGAGTTGACTGCTTACCTTCCGCTTCTTGTGTCGTTGGATGATGATATAGCATCTTTGGAAGAACACACTATTTCTCTGGCAAATGAACATATTCTCGGCAGCAAGAGAAAACAAGTAAACTTTCTTTATGGCTTCTTCAAGTTTATTACTATTATTATAAAATTGTAGAAAAATTGAATTTTTAAAAAGTATTTTTCCAAACAGCACATAAGAACATAATATTTTGCATGTCTATATAAAAGCAGATATCTTTTGATGAGTTCCTTGAAGCTAATTACACTTATCTGAATTTTTTTTTTAGGGTAATAATTTATTGGCACCTCTTCAGCGGAAGAGGTTCAGCCAAGTAAGAGGTATAGATTATGATTCCAAAGTCTCAGCAGGGGGTAAAGCAACTTCAGAAGGCAGTAACAAATACTGAGAGGATCCTCACACAAGAAGAAATTGTCAGTGATACTAATTTGGCAAGAAAAATCAAATCTAGAAGATCAAAGGGAAACAGAAGCGCACTTCAACCGGAATTCAAAAAGAAGAAAGAAATCAGCATGGATGCCAGAAAGAACAAAGATGTTAAATTGCTGAGAAATGACCAGGAAATCTGCAAAGTGAAGCATAAACATTTGTTCAAAATTATGAAGTTTGATCATGCTTCAAGCAGTTTTAGAAGCGTAGATGATTTCAGTTCTGAAACTGATGAACGAGCTCGTGAAATGTTGGAACCTGCAACCAATAATGTTGAAGTGCATCCCAAGATTGACATAGCGGCGGTAGAAAAAAATTCAAATCCTTCTTCTGAACTGGTTTTGGAGAAAGGGTTTAGTGTTGACACCAAATCCCATCAGGAATGGAGAAGTGTTATTGAAACTCTCTCATCTGATTCTCTGAGGTTGTCCATTCTGCAGGAAAATTTAGAGGAGCTAAAAAAAACCATTGAAGTGTCTGAAATGAGAGGGCAATCCTCACGAACTGCATTAAACAACATTACTGAACAGTTCAAAATTTCTGAAGGTGTCATCAGGCAGTTGATTGATATCAACTTCAAACTTACTAAAATGGCAGAGTACTTCTCTGCATCATTGGATGACAATGAAGGAAGAAGACAAGTCTCAGAGCGAGTTCAAATAGCTTCAGAAAAGATTGATATGGTTGAGCTGGAACTTGAGAGCTCACGGTGCCTCTTGTCTGAAGTCCTGGAAGAAGAAGAAGAAGAAGGAAGTAAGGCGCTCAAAGCCTTGCAGAGGAAATCAAGGTTTCCCTTGAAGGGTATTATCTATTGGAAAAAGAAGGATTCAAGGCAAAAGAAGCGGCGGTTTTGTGCTTGCATGAGGCTCAATACGAATGGTGACTAACTTCCGACTTTCTTAAACTTATTTTGGTAGTGGAAATCATTTGTATGTATAATTAATCAACATGAAGAGTATGTGGGTTTATAGCATGTTGATGTTCTTCTAGTTGTTGATTTCATTAATGGAGTTTTCTTCTCCTTTTAGTGTTTGATTTCATTAATGGAATTTTCTCCATTACATGATCATGCTTATTCTGACTCGTTCCTTTCGTTAAGTCAACTAGTGTAATATCTATTATGGACTGTAAATTTATTGTATGAGTTTGGCCATGGCCATTGACAAATGGTCAAATTATTGTGTAATTGTTATATATCATGGCTCTTAATTATGACAAAATGACACACTTGTAATTTTCATGCCTCTTGGGAGGTCTCATCTATCTATAAATAGATGAGGGGTCTTATGGGATAAAAGACCACCATAAGAAGATAGAAAAATCTGATCAAGAAGATCAAGAGGAGGAAGAAAATTCAGCAAGGAGAGGAAGAAAGAGAGGAGAGGCTTTAGAATTGAGGGAGAATTGAGGGAGATGAGGGAGAGGTCTTGTAGAGATAGAGATCTAGAGAGACTTTGAGATTCCTCGATGTAATGAGCTTGTAATTCTTCCTTTGTGCTAGTGAATTTTGGTAGCGATTCCCTCAGTGGATGTAGGTCAATGGACCGAATCACGTAATCTCTTATGTTCTTATGTTTGTGTAGTTCTCACAATTTTCTTTTGTTCTTGTTCTTATTTGTTGCGGTACTTCTTTTCTTCCCATTCTGTCGTTCAGGTAGCCGAAGCACTGTAGGTGCTCTTCGGCAATCCTATACTTTGGCCTGTAGCAAGATCCTCGGCATCCAAGAACTGTTGCAGGGAGGGAGAATTCTATTCTCTAGCTATAGGGATCCCGGTCAAGAACCGCAGGCCTAGGGAAGTGAACGACAAGGAGTTCTTAACAAGCAGTGCAGTAAGGTTCTTTCCAACAAGAAAGAAGTTCTTGGATCCTATTCTTGCTGGAAAGATTTAGATAATATTATTAAGTCCTTAATCATCTAACTCAATACACAGAGAGTTCCCTAGATGGTTTTCTTTCAGGTGTTCTTGGAACTTGGCGAAAGAATTCTTGACGGAGCGGATTTCACAACAGTAATTATATAGTTCTATCATGTTTTGTAGTTGTTGTTGAATGTATTTGTAACTGAGCGATACTTTTGATAGCTAGCCCTCAGATCAATACCCACACCGCATTGGTTGCAGGATTTGTTGAGATAACTTGAAAGAAGCAATTCTCTGGGCCTCTTCATCCGGAGTCAAGGTTGCTTCAGGATCTGAAACAATGTTCTCCACCGAGGATTGGCTGACCGACGAAGCGACTCTTAACAGGGGCTCAACGCTAGCATCCCCCAGTTCTGAGCTCTCCATGTTCCTCTCGACATCCTTCTCTGAAAGCAATAAGAGATCATATTTGGCGAGAAAAGAAGCTCCAATCAGACAAAATGACTTTGCGTTACCTTTAAAAAACGGGTCGACATTCCTTTGGTCTATGATCTCACCTTCTTCGACACAACCTCCTGAGAGAACAAGAAGTCAACAAGATAGGTCGTTGACCGATGGATATCGCTACGCTCCAACATAATATGAGAATTCATTTATAACTTTATTTAGATCAAAAGGCTTGGAATCAAGAAGCCAGGTCCGACTAAAGCTATGGAAGCAGTTTCTTCTGATCCTTTGAACAAATCGAAGGATGAACCCTCTACTAGATCACTCAAATCCAGAGGAACCTTTTCAGTACTCTTACTACCGAATCAAATGCCTTCATTGTTGAGAAATTAAGGCCAAGAAAAATAAGAATGACACAAATCCAGAAGAACACAAAGATTTAACTCGGCAAAGATGTCTACGTCATCAGGAGTAGAGCGGCGGCTTTTTCACTAATCCAGAAAAATACAGAATAAAGAATGTCATATCTAACATTCACAATTCTTGAAGGAGATCGGGGTAAGCACCTACCTCTGTAGTGTGCTACTTCCCAGAGCATTTGGCCTTCTTCTGAGATTCTTCTTCCTTGGACTGGACTTCCATCATCCTTCAACAATAAAGTATGTCCTTAAGGCGGTATCTTGAAACCTTCATCTATTTAACTGTATCTTTGTCCATTATAAAGCACTAGAGTTCTAATTACTATTACTTTCCCTTAGACAGTCCAACAACGTGACAACGGACGTTTGGAATGCATGCATGCATAATCGTGATAATGTCATGCAACATTAGGGAAGTGCCCACTCCGACTCTCCACTTCTTAAATCTTTTTAAACTTGCATCCTCATTAAAAATTGTTTGATAAATTAATTTCTCTTATAAAAGGGGATCAGACCAATAGGGCTTGACAGGCAAGGCAAAGATTTAAAGAAAACTCCCTCTTGCAGGAGAGCCATGGCCCCCAAAGAAAAAATAATTGCACCCATTTGGAAATTCAAGAGATTACTCCTTGCAGGAGAAACACAAAGTGCCCCTAGTTGAAGTTTAGTCATGGCTAGATGATCAACTTAAGACGATCTAATTCCTCACGAGCGTTGCCGAAGTGCCCTCAGCACAAAAGAAGTCCATTTATTAATTGCATTGCCTTCATGCCCCAAAAATAATTCTTAATTGAATTGGTAGTTCCATCCTTCGGCTTGTAGGTGTTAGGCGGTCCTGTTTTCTTCAACACTATAGCACACAAGTCCATCCTTATTTACGGCACCACTTGACACCCACATTGTGATCTTTTCTCAAGTTACCACATACAGGTGCAGAACTATATGAAATATAATTTTATATTTCTTTTCCCTCCCATATATAAAAGAGAGGTTGAAAGGGGTTAGGGGGGCATTCGATCGCTCTCTCTCTCTCTCTCTCTCTCTCTCATACACACTCTCTCAAAACAGTAGGCTCAAAACTCTCTCTCTCTCTCTCTCTCTCTCTCTCTCTCTCTCTCAATCACAAAACGGAGATCCTTCTTCGATCCATTCCCAGCTATTGGAGAACATAAGAAAATACACGAGCCCTAGCAAAACATGCATCACCTTCTTCCATGCCCTCTGCTTAAATACGTGATTTTTACAGAGTTATATGAATTTACAAATAATACAAGACCCTAAATCTTAAAACGCTTCAACAATATGTAAACATCCCAAAATTTTGAAGCTAAAAAAATCAACATTTTCAGACTTATCAACAGGTTTATTTATTATTCAGTAAATATTTTGTTAATGTTTGATATTATTCTTGATAATAATATTCAATTTAATTTTGATTAAATTTAATTTTTTGGAAAATTATTTATAATAAAGGATTATATTTCAAAATTCTCATCTTGCATTTCTGCAATTTCATTTCTGGTTCAAGTTACTCTGCCTTTTAAGTATCCCAAATAATGTGTGATTGCTCCTCTAACTGAAGAGTCAAAGTCCTTTAGGCCACTCCAATCTTCTCTCCCCAAAAAAAATCTAAGTCCTTTACGCAATCAGGGAATAAAATTCGGTTCTTCATTCCTCTTTAAAGAAAGCCGAAACAAAATCAACCAAACTTACAACAAATGACTTGGTTTCCAAGCTGTGAAGAAGCTTCAGCTCATCCTCCAAGAGCTTCAGTGCTTTCTCCAAGAGCTGACAAGAAGATAATCGAGGATGCTTCCGCAAATCTATGGCTCAACCAAATCAAGCATGTCATCTACGACATCGAGGTTGTGCTCCATGATATCATGCTCTCCACCTCTCAAGAAGCGGCGGCCACGACAATTCCAGTTCTTCGTAGACTCCGACACATCGCTAGTCGTATAAAGAGGAATGGCGCTTTATCCTGCTTCCCTTCAAGAAGCCTGCATCCAGACTGTTGTGAAATCCGCTCCGCCAAACACCTACAACCTCACTGTTGCGAAGAACTCCTTATGGATTGAGTTAGAAAAGATATTTAATAGTATTGTACAAATCTTTTCAGCAAGATTATGATTTCAAATTATTGTAATCTTGCTCCGTCAAGAATGCCAAGAAATAAGAAATGGAATGCAAAATAAAATATCAAATTCCTTCTTGAAACTTCTTTAAAGGCTACGGTTGGGAATGCCAAGAAATTTGCTGCAGTGCCTTATCCTCTTCTCTGTCGGGAAATCCACCTGCAAGCTAAGGATTGGGATTGCCGAAGGACCTGCTTGCTGCTGCGTTTCTTGGATGACGAGGGAGATGATAACAGTAACTAACCAAGCAATCTCCCTGAATCCAAGAACCTGAGCTGATATAAAAGTTCTTGTTCCAAGAACTGAAAAACGCAGCAAGCATGTACAAAAGGAAAAACCAGAAAAACAGAGGAAAGAAATG